AGAGTGACCACAAGATGCAAGAGTCATTGGACACTTGAAGATCAAGGCATTGTTGTGAGGAACAAGACAATGCTAGTTGCAAAGGGGTTCTCTCAAGTTGAAGGGTTGGATTTTGGAGAGACTTTTGCACCAGTTGCAAGACTTGAAGTCATTCGTGTCCTTCTTGCATATGCATCTCATCATGAAATGAAATTATATCAAATAGATGTTAAGAGTGCATTTTTAAATGGCTTCATAAATGAACTAGTGTGCACTTGCTTGAGGAGAGAGGAGTGAGCCTTTTCAAGCTCAGAGTGAGATTTTCCAAGCATCTCATGGTCTTCCCTTAGACTCTCATGAGAGGCATTTAGCTCATCAAAGGATTGCTCAAGAAATTTGATTTTATTGCGCAATTCTTTACACTCCTTTCTCTTCATCTTAAAGCAAGTGTGCACTTGCTCACACATGTCCATGAGGTCCTCCTTGCTGTACTCCTCATCATCATCACTCCTACAATCATCACTTTCACAATCATCATCACTCACATCATATTTTATCTTAGTAGGCTTTGCCATGAGGCATGTCGATGGAGTGTTGAAGATGGAAGGCTTGTTGTTGATGGAGATGCTTGCTAGTGCTTTCTTGATAGATTTCTTGCCATCATCACTAGAGCCATCACTATCCAAAGATCCATCACTATCCCAAGTGACCACATAGCCTCCACCCTTCTTCTTATTTTAGAAGGTCATCTTATTCTCCTTCTCCTTCTTTTCTTTCTTGTCCTTCTTGTGCTTCTTCTTCTCATCCTCCTCATTGTCACTATTGTAGGGACAATCCACTACAATATGATCGGGGCTCTTGCAATTGTAGCATCTCCTCATACATTCTTTGCTCTTGTTGTTGTCTCTTCTCTTTCTTACACCATAGCCCTTCTTCTTCATGAATCTTCCAAACTTGCGCACAAAGAGAGCCATGACTTCATCATCAATGTTACTAGCATCTTCATCATCACTTGGTTCTTCTTTCTTAGACTTGCCCTTGTTCTTGGATGATGAGCTAGCCTTGAATGCTACACTCTTCTTCTTGTCTTCATCTTCCTTCTTGTCATCCTTGTCAACCTCTCCCCTTTTCACACGGTATTTTTCTTATGTCATGATATCACCTAGTACTTGGTTAGGGGTGAGTTGCTTCAATCCTCCTCTAATGATAATCAAACTCAATGTCTCAAATCTAGGAGGTAAGCACATCAAGAACCAATGAGAGACATCATCATCATTGATCTTCTCTCCCAAAGCCTTCAAGTCATTGACAATTACTTGCAATATATGAAACATCTCCGGAATGCTCTCATTATCCTTCATCTTGAAGCTTGCCAACTTGTCCTTGAGGATGTATAGCTTGGCACTCTTCACCGCCGGTGTGCCCTCATAGGTCTTCTCCAATCTCTTCCACACTTCACTAGCTTTCTCACAATCCTTGATTTGCTCAAACACTTTGGAATCAATGGCATTGTAGATGGTGTTGAGAGCCATTGTATTGCATTGCTTGTTGGCCTTGTCAGTGTTTGGTGAGATTGTCTGGATCAAGAATTACATAGTCACTCTCGGTCACATCCCACACTTGGTCATTGATTGAACCAAGATACATCTTCATCTTTCTCTTCTAATAATCATAGCATGCGCCATCAAAGAATAGTGGTTTGCCCCCCACATACTTGAACACAACTTAAGCCATAATTTGACACCGAGGTTGTTAAGCCTTCAATCAAACGGTGACCACGGTTCCGATACCACTTGAAAGGTCCTAATATGGCTAGAGGGGGGTGAATAGCCTATTTAAAACTTCTACAAAGCACTAGAGCAAATTGGTTAGTAACACAAATGGCACAATACAATTTTGCTTCTAGCTCTATAAGGGTTGCAAGCCACCTATCCCAACAATTCTAGTTACTATGATCACTAACACACACAACAAGCTAGATCACTACTCACTAAGTTAGTGTGCTCTCAAAGACTAACTAAAGAGCCACACTAACCAAACTAATAAGCTCTCAAAGACTAACTACACTAAAGAGCTTGATAACTAGTTTGCGGGAATAGAAATGAGTAAGTAGGGTGATTATACCGCCGCGTAGAGGAGTGAACCTATCACAAGATGAACACCAATTCAATCACCGGATGAATACCAAAGGGCAAGAGATGACCGATTTTTTTCCTGAGGTTCACGTGCTTGCCGACACGCTAGTCTCCGTTGTGTCGACCAACACTTGGTGGTTTGACGGCTAATAGGTATCACACACCTAGCCCACTACAAGAGGCGCCGCAAGAACCTACCCACAAGTGAGATAGATCAATGACATGAGCAATTTACTAGAGTTGCCTTTGGCGCTCTACCGGGGAAGGCACAAGACCCCTCACAAGCAGCCGATCGAGGCCGGAGATAATCACCAACTCCGCTCAACGATTCTCCAATCACCGGGGCGTCTAGGTGTTGGCAAACACCAAGAGTAACAAGCTCACAATTAGCCCAAATCACCCAACTAGTGCCACAAGATGATGCAACTCAATGCAATGCACTAGAGACTCTCCAATCTCACTCAAGATGATGAAATTAAGTGAACAAGTGAGCAATACTTTCCTAAATGGTAAACGGTCTTTACACGGTCGCCCTTCGTTTAGCGTTTAGGCTGTTTACACAGTGTTTAAACGAAGTTAAACGGTCTAAATAGTTTTTTACTTTTAAAAAAAATACATATAATTATATATGTGCATATAAAAATCAAGTATTCTAGCATTTATACATATTTATCCATGTAAAAATCAATTATTTTGGTATGTATATATATTTATGCATGTGAAAAGAACCAAATATAGATATTTATGCATGTAACATATCAAGTGTACACATTTATAAATATAATAAACTTAAGTATACAAATTTATCCATACAAAACTGAACTAGATTTACCTCGTGTTCGCCTAAACGGCCGTTTAAACAACTGTTTAGCCCGTTTAATGTTGTTTATCTCCGTTCCGTTTAGGTCGTTTTTTCTATTTTTGACCGTTTAAACGGTCAACAGTTTAATTTCCGTTTACCCCCTAAACAAAATAGTTTACCACCGTTTACCGTTTACGGCCGTTTAAACGGCCGTTTAATCCATTTAAGCGAACACTGCAAGTGAGTGGAGTGTGTTGCTCAGCTTCCAAAGGGTGTGCACAAGTGTATGAGGTGCCAAGAGAGTGGCCAAGGCCGGCCACACCCTCTATTTATAGCCACACAAGCAAATAGAGTTGTTACCACTTAGAGCTGCTTTCTACGAGGGCACTGGACAGGGCGGTGCGGTCATTGGACAGGGGGTGACGGTGCCCCCAACAGTCGAATTCCAATGGCTAGTTGGTCATCGGATAGGGTGACGGTGGCACCAGACAAGGGGTGATAGTGCCCCCAACGGTCGAATTCCAATGGCTAGTTGGTCACCGGACAGGGGGTGACGGTGCCCCCAACGATCGAATTCCAACGGCTAGTTGGTCACCGGACAGGGTGACGGTGGCACCGAACAGGGGGTGGCGGTGCCACCCTGGCCGAGCCCCCCAAAACACCCCTCTCTGGATAATTAGGGCGGTGTACCGCCACACCCATGGCAGTGACCATGGCGGTGCCCCCCTCGGCTATAAATCCAACTTGCTGCCCTCGGGTGAAACAGGGCGGTGGCACTAGACAGGCAGTGATGGTGCACCGCCGTGCCCATGGCGGTGAACATCGCCGTGTCCGGTGACCACCCCACAGCAGCCCTTCTCTGTCAGGTCCTGGTGGGCACCGTCACAGGGGTGATGGTGCACCGGACAAGGGGTGGCGGTGCCACCTAGGCACCACCACTAGCTCTTCGAGTTGCAAACTTTGTCGCGTTTCGATCCACGTCAACTCGAGCTACTCCCGCAAGCGATGCTAACTCTCGAAGTGTTTTCTCAAAACATATTAGAGCCAAGTTAGCATTTTTCAAAATATTTTCCATAAATATTTTTGCTTGTTCTCCGATGTGCACTAGGCCTAAATGCAATGCATGAAGTCCAACACCTAGTGGCACTAGATGACCGAATTGTCTAGTTAAGAACCCCTCTTAATAGTACAACCATCTATCATAAATGTGATCACACTCTCTATAGTATCTTGATTATTAAAATAAAATCCCTAATTGTACCTTTGCCTTGATCTCCATAGGGTTTTGTTTTTCTCTTTTCTTCTTTTCAAGTTGAGCACTTGATCATCATCACATGTGGCCATCTCCTCACTTCATGTGATCAACATCGCTATTTGAGTGTCACCATGCTCCTAACTTGGATTGCACCAACCTAACTCATATCATCACTCATGACAAAAGTTAGTGTTTAGGTTTTATCAATTATCCAAAATCAAACTAGAGCTTTCAATTGCCCCTTGACTAGGAATCAAACATGATCTCAATTAAACCAGACTTGTCTGGACCAGATGAACCAAACACACGACGTTACACCATAGGAGCCCTGCTCGGGCTAGCCAGCCGTGCTGGGCAGAGGCACCTTATCAAACACGCCCCAAAAAAAAAACCACTGGCCAATAAATGCAGCTCCTCGCTTCCTACCTTGACGACTCCCGTTTAAATGCGTAATTGAAGTCCAGAGATATTTCTTCAAGTGTTGGGAGTACTTGAATGCGTAATTAACAGCTACAGGCCAGGTGTTGTGCTGGCAGAACCATATCTTTGTCTCAGTACAGTGGGAATAAACGTCTGTGTTCTTTGGACGACACGATACGTCCAGGGCCCAGCCCAGCTGCCCAACTCGGTCTCCTACTCTACTCTACTCTACTCCGACTCCGAGCCCAGTTTGGCCACGCACGCACCGCTCCTATAAGAGAAGACGGAAACCAGCCCAGCCCACGCTCCTCACGCACCTGCGGCCGGCAATCCAAACAACCTGCCCGCCCTCGCCGCTCGCCACTCGCCGCTCGCCGGCGCTTAGAAGTTAGAACAAACACCCACACACATGGCAGCCACCGGCCACGCCGTGGTCGACATCGACTTCCCCGAGGAGGCCGACGCTGCAAAGCCGCCGCTCGCGCCAGTCCCCTACTTGCTCAACTTCGTTGACCTGTCCTACAGCGTGAGGAGCCGCAGCAAGGGCGGCGGCGGCGGCGGCCTCCTGTCCCAGTCGTCGGGTCGCCGCCCGGTGGCGTCCGCGGACACGCCCCCGCCGACATCGTCCAGGCGCACCAAGACGCTGCTCGACGGCGTCTCCGGCGCGGCGCGCGCCGGCGAGCTGCTCGCCGTCATGGGCGCCAGCGGGTCGGGCAAGTCCACGCTCCTGGACGCGCTGGCCGGCCGCATCGCGCGGGACAGCCTCCGGGGCGCCGTCACGCTCAACGGGGAGCCGCTCCAGGGCCGCCGCCTCCACGCCATCTCCGCGCACGTCATGCAGGACGACCTCCTGTACGCCATGCTCACGGTGCGCGAGACCCTACGGTTCGCCGCCGAGTTCCGCCTGCCCTGCGCGCTGTCTGCCGAGCGGAAGCAAGCGCGCATCGACGCGCTCATTGATCAGCTGGGGCTGTCCCGCGCCGCCGACACCATCATCGGCGACGAGACCCACCGCGGGGTGTCCGGTGGCGAGCGCCGGCGCGTGTCCATCGGTACCGACATCATCCACGACCCCATCCTGCTGTTCCTCGACGAGCCCACGTCCGGGCTCGACTCGGCCAGCGCGTTCATGGTGGTGCAGGTGCTCCGCCGCATCGCGCAGAGCGGCAGCGTCGTCATCATGACCATCCACCAGCCTAGCACGCGCATCCTCGCGGCATCCTCGACAGCCTGCTCCTGCTCTCGCGCGGACGCACCGTGTACGCCGGCACTCCCGCCGGACTGAAGCCCTTCTTTGCCGAGTTCGGCGCGCCCGTCCCGGACAACGAGAACCCAGCCGAGTTCGCGCTCGACACCATCCGCGAGTACGAGCGCCAGCCAGATGGCGCCGCCCCGCTCGCCGACTTCAACGTCAAGTGGCAGCACGGCAACGCGTCGTAGGCCGTGGAGAACAACAAGCTGATGCCGCTGGAGCTGGCCATCGCCGAGAGCGTGTCCCGCGGGAAGCTGGTGGCCGGGAGAGTGCCGGGCGGCGGGAGCGCGGTCACCGAGTCGTCGGTGCCGACGTTCGCCAACCCGCCGTGGACGGAGGTGTGGGTGCTCATCAAGCGCTCCTTCACCAACACGGGGCGCATTCCGGAGCTCTTCATGATGCGCCTCGTCACCATCATGGTCACCGGCTTCATCCTGGCCACCATCTTCTGGCGCCTCGACGACACCCCCAAGGGCGTGCAGGAGCGGCTGGGCTTCTTCGCCATGGCCATGTCCACCATGTTCTACGTGTGCGCCGACGCTCTCCCCGTGTTCGTGCAGGAGCGCCACATCTACCTCCGCGAGACCGCGCACAACGCCTACCGCCGCATCTCCTACGTGCTGGCCAACGCCGTGGTCGCGTTCCCGCCGCTGGTGCTGCTGTCGCTGGCTTTCGCGGTCACCACGTTCTGGGCGGTGGGGCTGGCCGGCGGCGCCTCGTCGTTCCTCTTCTTCGTGCTCATCGTCCTCGCCTCCTTCTGGGCGGGCAGCGGCTTCGTCACCTTCCTGTCCGCGGTGGTGCCGCACGTCATGCTGGGGTACACGGTGGTCGTCGCCATCCTCGCCTACTTCCTCCTCTTCTCCGGCTTCTTCATCACCAGGGATCGCATCCCCGACTACTGGATTTGGTTCCACTACCTGTCGCTGGTGAAGTATCCATACCAGGCGGTCCTTCAGAACGAGTTTGGCGGGGCGTCGCGCTGCTTCTCTCGCGGCGTGCAGATGTTCGACCGCACGCCAATCGGGCGCATGCCGGAGGCCGTCAAGATGAAGGTGCTCGAGGCCATTAGCGCCACCCTGGGCACCAACGTTACAGCGGATACATGCGTGGCCACCGGCGCAGATGTGCTGGCGCAGCAGGCTGTCATGGACATCAGCAAGTGGAAGTGCCTGCTGATTACAGTGGCATGGGGGTTCTTTTTCAGGGTTCTCTTCTATGTGGTCTTGCTAGTAGGGAGCAAGAACAAGAGAAAATAAGGTAGTACCCACAAAAGAAACATGTAGAAGAGCTATAGCTTGATTTGTGTAATTTGTTAGGACGTCCCAATGGTTTCCAAATAGCTAGTTTAAAAAAAATTCTATTGGCTATCAAGGAGAGAGATCTAATAGAGCTAGTGACTCCATAATAGCTACTCTCGCATGATCTCCTAGAAATAATTCTCTCCGAGCTTGCACAACCCTCCACCACTATGCTCTTTTTTTATTTCCAAGTCTTATCTAGCTAGCGATTGGCAAGTTGCCATTAAGGATGCTCTTATGTCCATAAGAAACGTGGAAGTTGTTCATTTCCTTAGATGCCATTGCACAAAACTTATGCTCATTTTCTTATATACCATTGCACAACTTGGAGGATCCAGAATCCCTCGATTAAAGATCCGAGAAGAAGAAGAACATAATAAAAGTCAGGTGCAACTTCCTGGTACGTATCAAAAGTTGTATGTGCTATTATATCGTGCATGCTCTCTATATGTTCTAATCGATTGTGTGTTATATATCGTGCAATGCTCCAAACAACCTATTATGTGGATACAAATGTTTACGAGTACCTCAAAGAGTTCGGCAAATTCAACATAAGCTACAAGCAGCTCAAGAAAGCACAAGACTGGTAGAAAAAGGAAGGGGTCACCCATAAGAATATAAGTCAAATTATAGCGGACATATGTGGATTCATCTTGCACAAATGCGTGCATGTCGGGGGGAAGTTCTTCATCGAGGAGAGCGAGTAGCGTATGATGAGAAGTATGAGAAGATCAGAAACTGGACCAACAAGCTACGCTTAGAGGATTAGAAGATGCCGGAGATCTTTAATTAGAAAGTAGCGGACATCTTAGTTTCATATGTATATATATGACATGTAACTTGAATGTTGGTCCATGCTACGATAAGGACGAGATACGAATGGATGTGGTATATGATATGTTTATTCTCTGCATGCGTATTTCTACGTTCTCAGTATATGTTGTCAGTGTTTAAATCACAAAAAACAAAATTCAAATCCAAATCAGATGATGGGAACTTATTCTTTTTTAAACTGGAAAAGGATTAATGGTGGCGGGCAAATAAGAACTTGCCGCCTTCGTTAAACTTTAATGGAGATAGGTAACGCAGACGGACATCCTAATGTGACCGTCTATGTTAATTGATTAACGAGGCGGACAAAGCGGAATGCTGTACTAGTGTCTAGTGACAATGGGTAAACTATCCCAAGCCCTAACCCGCAACCGATGAAAACCATTGGTAGGCTATTTTCGTGCAGGTCATATTTGGATAGCTCTTGATCAGATTTAGTTGGAAGCATGCATATGAGTATATGACTCATCAATCGTCAGTCGCAAAAAAAAAAAAGGACTCATTAATCATCATGCTCACTATGTAGTTGGAAACATATCAAGATGATCTTTGATGTACGCCTTTCACCCATACGGATGCGGCAACCAAAGCTAGCTATGACTGAAAACTGTATCGAGAAATAGGTACGTGTGTGAGAGACTAGTACACGGAGACGGAGAATCAGGACTGTGATTTGAGAGGCAGGCGTGCAGGCCCGAAGTAGTGGCCAAGTCCAAACTTATACTTGTGTAGGCTACCTCCGTCAGATCAACCACACCTGGCGGCCCGCCCGGCCTGCCGTCCAAGTCCATCTCCATCTACTTCCCAGCTGTGTCTTGTAGCGGCGGACCAACTGAAAATTTGATCTGAACACCGGAGGATCGGAGAAGAGAAAAAGCTGCTGCCTGCCGCGCCGCCGCACATCAAGGAGCAAGTAACGCTTGCAGGGAGGGATCCCATTGGCCGGCCGTGATGATTTTGACAACACCTGCTGAGATGACCCGGTTGGATCGGAGATACTCACTCTGTTACAAAATATCGGTCGTTTTCGTTTTTCCATAAACAATTTTGACTAAATATATATTAAAAAATATTAATATTTATGATATATAATTAGTGTCATTAGATAAATATTTGAATCTAGATTTTTTAAAATTTATTTGGAGATAGAAATGTTTCACGTATTTTTTATAAATTAAATCAAAGTTATCGACACGTAAATCGTGACGACAAAACATATATAGAGAGAGTAGATAGATAAAGAAAGGAACTTAAGATGAGTCGTTCTTCCATGAATTGACCCCCAACTTTCAACTTGCCAGATCCTACTCCCTCCGATCGTCTCGGAAAGCAAAGGATGAGTTAAACTATCTTAGTTTTTTTAAATTATACGGTGCAACATAGACGTCTACAACATGCACACTCATCTCTATGAGTACACGTACGCAAACCCTACAACTAGCTATGAGCACCTTCGAAGGACCGAGCCAGCAAATCTTGAGATTCACGAAGTCACCATAGGTGTCTCGCTGTTGATGGGGATGTCGCCTACCACCACTTAAAAGCATAGCGCTAATAAATCCAAGAAAATACGAGCACCCATGCCAAGTCGAGGACTTGAATCCGGGTGGACAGGTTTTATCCCAAGGAACCCAGCCAACTGATCTACGATCAATGTTCGCTTAGCTTTTTTACTAGGTTTTATAAGAAACAATACTATCAATGTTTATGACATGCTATGAAAATATAATGCATGACGAATTTAATGATACATTTTTAGTATAATGGATATTAGTATAATTTTTATACAAAATTAGCCAGACTTAAGAGGCTTTGGCTCAGTACTATTCTAGAATTGCATCATTTCTACTTCTTCCATTTTAAATTATAAGTCATTACAAGAATCTTGGAGAGTCAAAACATTTCAAGTTTGACCAAAATTATAGTGAAAACTATAAAGATTTGTGACATAAAATAGGTATACTATGAAAGTATAATTAATGAAGAATCTAATGATAATTAGTTGGCATAGTAAATGTTATTATCTTATCATATAAGTTTGGTCAAACTTAAGATGTTTTGACTCTCCAAAATTCTTAGAATGACTTATAATTTAAGATGGAGGGAGTAGAATGGAGGTAAGTAGTGTGTGGAGCTACTACCCCATCCGAAAGAACAATTTCAGTCCTGTTTTTAATCAAACTAATTCAAGTTTGGCTGTTTGTAAAGAGCTAGGTGAGTAGCAATATTTATAAAACCAAATAAATATACTATAAAATTTAGTTTATGATGAATTAAATTATATGTATTTAATAATACCGTAAGGTCTCATTTGGATCTTTGGAATTAAATTTATTTTAATAATCATAATTTAGACACATATTAATTAAGCTAATATGGTTGTATATGATTATATTTGTATATTATTGTTGGCTATACGAGAGAGATACTTATGTGTTGTATTTCTACCATAGGAGAGTGAATTGAAGAGCGTGTTATAAGTTGTCAAAGTAGAAACATAGAATTATAATCTATAGAATCAATTTCCATCTCCTACCCTATGAATTTGAGATAAGCTATATGTGAACTTTGGAAAGTGGTGGAATATCAAATTCCAAGCCAAATAGCCTAATTTATTAAAGTAGATTTCAATTTCTCCAAATGAAAGGATCCAAACCACCCCTATATATATATATATATATATATATATATATATATATTTATATATATATTTATAAAAAGATTTAGTCAAACTCGTCTGATTTAAGACTACGATAGCATTGCTTTATATCAAGGGACTACCGATGCAACCGTAGTGCTTGCAGTCCACATATCTGTTCCAGCAGTAAATAGAGAGGCGTTGATTGATGGATCGTAGGCCGCCACAATGCAGGGAAGCCGTTTTATAGGCCCACAGAACGATGCCTCTTCTTGGGCCAGTAAGCCCGATAATGCCTTCTCTGAGCCCATAACGGCGGCCGCTGGGCATGACTGCTACGACCGTGTCCACGTTTTCAGCTTTACTGGAACCCATAGGCTCTCCTAAAAAAAAGGGGGAACCCATAGCCGTGCTAGTACTATGTATTTATTACCAATTATTCATTTTTCTTTGCAAAAAATATCCATATGCAGCAAATGGTTTCGCATTTTATATTACTTAATTAAAGTGAGATATGATATTGTTTCGTGCCTGTCACTACGTATACCGACTGCATTCAGGGGCAGTCCAAGAGAGAGAGAAAAAATGCATCGTCGATATCACTTGGCACACAGCGAAGACCAGAGATATTTAGTACGAAAAGGAAATTAAAAGGTGGATTTGGAGTCTGGGGGAAGAACGGTTTGGATTGAATGTGCGATGAATTCAGAAAGTCTATCAGGTTTTTAGTATCCCTTAGTATCATCAATCAGGGTAGTCCAAATGCTAAAAACTGTAGTTTTATATTTATTAATTTTTATAGAAACTACATATAAAAACCATAGTCTTAATGGATAGTTTCTACACAACAATTTTTTATACAATCACATATATTTTCTCTCCATTTTCTACTAATTATATCCCTTTATGTCTTGATTCTCGTGTAGACATGGTTTCTAACTTAGATCTGGTTTCAATGATTTTGCTCTCTCTCTTCAATAACTATCTTGCCACATCAGCAAAACGCTTAGGTGGTAGTACAATTAATATCCATAGAAAATATGATAATTTGTGTATTGAGAGTGGCCTCGACAATTTGAAAAGTACGCGGGAGAAATGCCGAGGGAAATCGGGGCAAAACACAAGCACGCACGCGCAGATATAGGGACAGGCGCATGGCGGGGGCTTTCGGCGGTGGCGATTGTATCGCCCCAAGAGAGAGGTCCAGTTGAAGCGATCATTGTACGCGCGCAATTCTGTTCTGACCCAAACTTTCAGCAGAACTGAAGTAACAAGGCGTAATACATTGCATTTAACTTCTTCATGCACAGCTCAACCTCAACCACATTGGGCGGGCCGGTCAATGCGTGGGTTGTAGTTGTCGAACAAGGTTTCGTTCAGAGTCCTCTCGTTCAGGAAGTTTATTGGGCGAGCCTTTTCTTCAGCATCCTCCACGCAACATCGTAGCCCTGGATTTGTAGTAGAGCTGTTAAAGTTCAATCTAAATGTAACAGACTGTAAATAATAGCAATAAAGCATGTGTTTATTCAGGCTTCACATCGCACATTCAAATGCCTGAATCATAGTTGACGTTACCGGTGCACTCCACACTACGGTCAACCCCTCCATTAGTCATCTCAGCAAGTACCTAAAGCATCAAAAAATTGGATATTATGGTTAAGTTCTGCATTACCTATCACAGGTTGGCTTAGGTAAAGAAACAGAGCTCCAAAAATGGCTTGTTGTGGTCTTTTGAGTTCAAAAATTCAGTGCAACCAAACTTCTTTGCTGAAAATGGATAAACCATATGAGCTTACTGACTAAAAAAAAAGAATAAAATGAGGACAGTTCAATCAAAACGATACCTTTCTCGAATCTGTCGGGGATCACGTCAACACCATTAATCTGCTCTCTTCCTCCTTGGGGAGGAAGCTGATTCTTTCGCTAAGAGGGCAGAAATGTATTACAAGCGACGACCGGAGAATCTGCTCTCTTAGCGAAAAAACATGATTTCACCATTAATCTTCGACATTTGTTCTAAATCTCTATTGATTAGCCCCCCCGAGGTGCTCATCGTGGCTCCGCCACTGCCAACACCAGCAGATGCAGTGACTAATGACGAGCTCACAAAGCCAATGGGCCCACTGTTCAGTGACTACTACTCCTGATTCCCACCACCACTTCGTCATCACCACCACCTACCACGTACCAACGACTGTCGTGTGCTGACAACTAAGCACAGAATCTGTGTTCCTCCTCGTCTGGTTTAGACATGGATCATCATCAACAGCAGCAGATTCAATCACTGGACATTGACCATTATTCATGGCATTCTTTCCAGCCTCCCTTTCTTCATGAGTTCTGATATCTCACCATTTTCTTTGTCCTGCAAAGAAGGACCTAACGATCAAGGACCACCCAGATCACAGAGGTATTCGATCAATTAGCCTGTGTGCATTTCAGAAAAGTTCAGTGAGACATGCTTGTGCTGTTGTGCAGAGCAGGTGAACTTGTATACACAGAAGAGGAGCTTGGGTTACCCGGCTGAGGAACTCTTGAGCTGAAGGAGGCAGGAAGAACAGTATGCTGCAGCAGGCGGCCAGCAATGCCTATTCATGGTGGTGGGCAAGCCATGTCGGCACCAAGCAGTCCAAATGGCTCGACAACAACCTCAGAGGTTCGTCTTTCTTGAGAACACATCTCATCCATGTTGATTCAGCCATAACACCTGGGTCCAGCCAGTCACCCTTTTTTAGCAAGACTATGCTCAAGGCTTGCTTCATGTGCAGCTTTAGTTTTAGCATTTTAATGACATTTTGTTACAGTGAGTGAGAGGCTGGTTTCTCTGAACTATTTCTTTTCTTCCTCCAAGCTTGGATGATTTCCTCCAAAAGAAAACAAATATATGGCAGATACATGGTATGCAATCTGTGCAGGATTGTACCAAGAACATTTGGTTTCTAGCAATAAACACCTTAGTTCAGGTGATTATCAAAGTTATATATGGACCATCTAAGCATAGAGATGTACTATTCACTTGACAATGTCTGGTTACTCAGAGCAAGAAGTACTAATGCTTTTCATTCTAGTTTCGATTGGTACTGGCCTAGTAGTGAGATATACACTACAGTTTGTCATGATTGTGGTTTTTAAACATGGGTTTCTACCAGACTACCCGCCTAATGCCTGTTGCTTTTTAAATACTGTTTTTCACAATCAAAACATTGCATATCATTATGCGCAAATAAATTGACCACAAAATTGAATACAGTAAAGTAAAGAAAGAACAAACTGAAACCTCTGTTCCATATCAACCAATTAACAATTAAAATTGCTTTGAACTCTACATTTTTATAGGGAGCACTATGACACATCCTTCAACACGTATTTTGCAATCCATGGCAAAAAAAAAAAAAAAACATTTAGACAATGCTTCTGAGACAATGCTTCTGAGATTTTTCTTTCTTTCTGGATATCCAGTGTCCCCAATTGTACTTGCTATTTTCATTGTTCAACATTATTGTATTTTGTGTGTCAAAAGATTTCCATGCATGTGCACCCGTGCAGATATGGAAGATAGGGTCAAGTGTATTCTCTTCCTCCTTGAGGAGGAAGCTGATTCTTTCGCTAAGAGGGCAGAAATGTATTACAAGCGACGACCGGAGGTGATCAGTTCAGTGGAAGAAGCATACCGGGCATACAGGGCCCTTGCTGAACGCTATGACCATATGTCAGGGGAGTTACACAAAGCAAACCACACCATTGCAATTGCCTTCCCTGATCAGATTCAGTATTCATTGTTAGAAGAGGACGATGATAATCTTCCGAAGGCTTTTACCACAGTTGATCGTCGCAAAATCCACAAGTCAACGGTGGAGGGACTGATGAAGAAGAAGCATGGTCAGAAATCAGGACTGAAGGATTCAGGCAAGAAATCTGCAGCTCCAAACAGCAAGGATAATGCACAAGCTGAGATTAGCAGGCTGCAGAAAGAGATATTAGTCCTGCAGACTGAGAAAGAATTCATCAAAAGCTCTTATGAGAGCGGAATTGCAAAGTACTGGGATCTTGAAAAGCAAATTAATGAAATGCAGGAAGAAGTTTGCTACTTCCAAGATGAGTTCAATGAAAGTGCAGCGATAGAGGATCATGAGGCCCAGGCTTTGATGACAGCCACTGCTCTTAAATCTTGTGAAGGTGCCTTTATCAAAATGCAGGAGCAACAAAAGTCATTTTTCAGGCAAGCAATGATTGAGTCCGAAAGAGTTAAGGTTTCTAGGGATAAACTGAAGGGTATCTTCAGAGCACATGGTAAATCACTAACATATTCAGTAAATTCTGCAGATGAGAATGTCAATAATGATGCCAGTGCTAGGAAAGATGAATTGTTCTCCATGAAGCAGGAGAAAACTGAACTACAAGAACTGGTAGGTAAGAACAGGGGATACTTTGAGATGAGCTCTGATCTTTCTGTGGAAGATGTTGCAGAGAAAATTGATGAACTAGTTAACAAAGTTGTGGATTTGGAACTCATGATTTCAACCCAGACTGCACAGATAAATAGGTTGTGTCTAGAAAATAATGAGCTGGAGAAGTCATTGCAGAAATTGGAGGAAGAGAAAACAGAACAAACCAGTGACCCTGGTGAATTAAATGACAAGCTCAAGCAGGCAGAAGAGGAGCTTATTAGAGTGCATAACCTTGAGGCATCCTATGATGCAGAAGAAAGAATAGTCTATACAAATTTCACAGAAACAATAAATAATTTCTGTGATATTTCACATATGCTGCAATCATCTCTCATTGAGCACCAAGCAGTTTCTAGGTGCATGCTGACTGATGAAGCAACAGCATCCACTGACACTGAACCATCAAGTGTGCATGGCAAAACAAGCCCATCAGAAGATCCTGAGATGGATGAAACTGCAAGCAAGGCACATGTGGATGGATTTCCTAATCGTCCAGACACATCAGAGCCAAGTATCTTCCATGACGATTGTCAGTCATCTAGTTGCCACTATGAGATTAAAGCAGAAGAGCATTCTCATGTAGATAAAACAGAGGATTTGTGGTGTTGCGAGTTTGAAGATAAGTTCAGTACATCTGCATCAGTGGATGTAGGAACAACAGAAAATGCAGACCATAATTTGTCTGCTGACAATAATAATGGAGGACCAGAACATGTTGATGAAATGACTAGTAACAATGAAAGCAGTGTGCAACCATATATAGTACACTCCCATGAGAGTGACCCATTAGAACAGCTGCATCACATTTCCCCAAGCAGCCCAGGAGAAAATGTGAAACAACAGGATAATGTGATGTATAACTCAACACAGTGTAACAACATGTCTGAGAGCAGGTCAGAACAGAATATGGAGATGAACGAAGCTGAAGCTTCATATATCACTAAAAATCCTAGTTCTACTAGTGGGGAAGTTGCAAATGTTGGAGATCAAGAGGATGTCATGATTAATCTGCAGCAATTGCTTATGACTGGACTCCAAGATAAGGAAAAGGTACTATTAGATGAGTACACTTCCATCCTCCGAAACTATAAGAATGCAAAGCGAAGGCTTGCAGAAGTGGAAACAAAGAACCAGGAATGCCTGAATGAGATAAGAGCCATGATAAGTGAACTAGAGTGTGCCAACGGAATGAAGGATGCTGAGATTCGGTCACTTCGTGAGCTCTTGGAATCTTTAACTTACAAAGATGCATCACAAAGAGATCATCAATTGAATTCAACCATGTCCCTAAGTGAGAAGAATGGAATGGTTAGGGGCCACCGAAGGACTCCAAGTATTTTGCAACTTCATCAAAGGGCACAAAGTGTCTCCTCTATTCCTAGGAGAACAGAAAATAATTCTAGCCTGAAAAATAACCTGAGTACAAATTCTTCCATGGAACCTGATGCACCACACAATTATGTTACCATTCAAGAAAGCATTATCCTGGAGGATCTCACATCAACAAATGCAGTTGAGATGGAGAAAGCATCACCACTAGAAGAGAAGTTCAGAAGAAACATTGATGCACTTCTGGAGGAGAACCTAGCGTTCTTGATGAAGTTGAGCATGTCTTTCCAACAGATACAAGGATTTCAGACCAAGTATGATCAGCTACAATCTGAGATCAGTAAGCTAACAAATGACAAGCTAAAGCCAAACAAGGACGATACAAACGAATACCCTACAGGCTCAGAAATGGAAACAACAAGAAAGAGGCTAAGAGAACTCAAGATTGAATTGCATGTATGGTCGGAACAGAATATGATGTTCAAAGGTGAACTCCAGTCTAGGTTTGATTCCTTATGCAACCTACAGGAGGAAATTGAAGGAGCTACGGAAATGGATGAAGACACTGAGCACGGAGCTAGATTCACTTCATATCAAGTTGCAAAATTCCAGGGAGAGCTCCTGAACATGAAGCAAGAGAACAACAAAGTTGCTGATGGACTGCAGGCTAGTTTGGATCATGTCAAAGGGCTCCACACAGAACTTGATAAGGTTCTGGCAAAGATTGACAAGAGCACTAGCTTATCTGGGCCGAAAGCTAGAAGCACCTGGAGGAATGCGCCCTCTAAATCAAAAGTACCGCTGCGGATGTTCCTCTTTCCAGCCAAGAAAAAGAAGACATCGTTGTTTGCATGTGTGAATCCAGCGAACCTTTCGAAGCAGCACAGTGACATGGCATTCTTCACTAAAATGAGCTAGGTATGCATGAGTGTTTGTCCAAATGCCTAAAGTTTCAAATATGCTAGTGTGTGATCTGATAGTAACATATTAATGTGATGATCAGGTCTTCTGGATGGAATCAAATATCAAATTCATCATGGAGCAAGCAAACAAGACTCAAGATTTGATGTCAGGTTGTGGCCTAATAATGCCAGAAGACTATATTTAGCTTATTTTTAAGGAATCTTGTAGCATCTTACTGGGACTAAATAACATATTCTTACTAACCAGCTGATTCAATTCAAAAGAGATATGCATATGCTGTACAGCCTTTTTACATTTGTAGATAATTTATTAGAAAAATAGATATTTTGAATTCGCAAAGAAGTCACTGTGTGCTGAAGAGAACAACTATACATGATGAAATTCAGCTTGTGCCGTTTAACATTGAGGCCATAATAAGTGATCTATTTAGTTCAGGGTTACTGCATTGCGTGGGCAGAGTACTAGTCTTGCTGATCAGAGATGAGTAGTACAAGAAAACAACAGTAGAGTACACATCAAGCTCAGTCAGACAAGAGATATGGTGGTAAGCACGCACCTGAGTGAGAGAGAGCCTGAAGGTGGTGTCCTCTCGGCGTGGCATTCCATCGAACAGTTCGCGGGCTGCGGGTACGACGAAGCAGCGTAAGCACTTGCTGGCTTCAAAAGAGCTTCAGCGTTGCTGCAAACGCATATCCAGGGAATCAGCTTCCCAGTCCAGGTGCAGTCCCGGCGCCATTCTCAGCCTGAGAGAGCTCGCTTCTCCAGCGGAATGGCGGACCGTCGTCTCCTCCAGCTGAATGGCGGACCCGGCATGGCGGAAGGACGGGAGACAGAAAACCAAACCATCAGCCCATGCAGGACGGCTAATCTATATCTAAATATATTTACATCTACGTATCTTAATAATCTCTACTGGTATTCTATCTCACAATTTAAGTTGTCCATGTCAATATTCACAAGCACATCTAAAGATGGCAGTTGGATGGGTTTAGACCTAATTTCCCTCACGAGTTTGCTGGTTCAGGGACTGAACCGGGGAGGGGCGGGGGGGCGGATATGTAATTTCCCCCACAAAAGCTTATCGGGGACCTGAATTTTTAATAGCCCATGTAATAACACTGCTACAATCCCAAATTATCTTGAGTGCCAAAAACCGCTAAGGAAATAATCCTTGGCCACAAACCGTCAAGCAAATTCACTCAGAGATAGGAGAAAAGAAAAATCAATTTCCTTGGCGGTTTAAAAAATTTAGAGGATTTTATGAAAGTTAGCATATACATTGTTCACAAATGGATATTTCTCTCAAAAAGTTTCATATAACCTAAGTCAAACTTTGAAGTTTGTACATCTCAAAACTTTTATTGCTCATACACACTTCAAATTTATAGACAATCTTACTTTTATCTTCATATTAATGAATGTGAATTTGCATTGGCACTTATTACGCAAAAAAATATTTTTATCAAATTTTGAAATGATGAACTGAGGAACCCTTCTAAAGGAACATGCAAAAAAATCCAATATAAGCAAATACATTTTTTATATGTAATATACTACATGTACATTGTTGTGAAGGATTTTCAATATTTTCTGAACTAATTTACTATTTTCTATAGTCTAAATGAATTTGTATGAGCTTAGAGAAATTGTAATTTTTGGGTGCACCGCCAAAGGAAATTACATAACCCTTAAGAAAATGTAAATTTCCTTGGCTGTTTAGTATAACACTCAAGGAAATTCTATTTTTCGGTAAAGAATAGCAGTCATGGAAATGATAATTTTCTTGAAGGTTTACATTCACACTCAAGGAAATGCTTAATTTCTGACCTTTCAAACCTCTCGAGGAATATATTTTTCTTGGAGGTTTGCTAGCACAACCAAGGAAACTATATATTTATTGGTGGTTTTATTTTGGCACTTAAGAAAATTCGCAGCCCTCAAGGCAATTCTAGATTCTGGTAGTGTAAGGCCCAGACCAAGAGTAACCCTAGGTATATAAACAGCAGCTACCATGACTTTCTATCCATCTGTCGATCTGTATCCATTCCCAAGATATGGACAACTAAATACAAATGTTGCTAAATTTTTCTGTAAACCTAGTCGAACTTAAGAAAGTTTGACCAACACAAATACCATAGCGACACTTGGGACAGATGGAGTAAGCATCTAATCTACTAATTAAGGGTCTGTTTAGATCCATATTTTGTGTCTGACAATAAAACCAGTAAATAATGACATTCATTCAGATCTGACTTCATGCGCATATGATTTTTTTTCCACCTCTATATATGCATGGATGGGAGTACAATGAAATGAACAGCTATTTTCGCTCTAGTGAATTTGTACGTGCAATGCTCTCCACAAGATCAAGAGAGTACGGAGAAAGAACTGATTGTCTAATCCTGTTACTCAGTCGATATATATAGTAGGCACCTACTATCAAAATGGGAAGGACCATGTGCTGTCATTCGTGTAATCGTATCTGATCTCATCTATTGAATAATGCTGTCATTCGTGATGCTTAGCTCGTTAGCTACCTGGCCTGGTGACGACCACACGAACATATATACTATTGACTTAAAGCAGGCAGGCATTTTGCTGTGTATAAATTGCCATGCCTGTCCAGAGCTTATGGGAAACGGTTAAGCTGAGCAGCTAGCTAGCTAGTTCATAGCTACGACATCTTTGCCATCTTATCGTCTTGCTAGCTTGCCAGCCAGCCGCATCAATGGCTTCTGTGGTGGCGTCGCCACGCTTAAGGGGGTGTTTGATCCGGTGACTAAAATTTAGGAGGTGTCATATGAGGGTGTCGCATGGGTGTTCGGATATTAATAAAAAAACAAATTATAGAATCCGTCAGTACTCCATGAGACGAATTTATTAAGCTTAATCAATCTATCATTAGAACATGTTTACTATAGCACCACATTGTCAAATCATGAACTAATTAGACTTAAAAGATTCGTCTCGTAAATTAATCGCAAACCATGCAATTAGTTTTATAATTAGTCTATATTTAATACTCTATGTGATAGGATAACGATTAAAGTTTAGGAGGAGTTACAAACAACCCCTGGGAAGGCTGCTGCAGCGGGCTGCCTTCTGCTGATCGTCTTGTCCATGGATCCACCGCCGGTGACAGCGGCCGGTAAATGTCCCGTCGATTGTACTAATCCGTGCGAGGAATACGCAGCCACACTTGCTCTGGCTTGGTCAAAGCCAACACTTGCTCATCTTTCACAGATGAGAAATGCAGGCAGCTGATGTTCGTGCCGTGTGTGACTAGCTGCTACGCAGGCTGCATTGCAGCCGTGTCGTCCTGCCTTTAATTAATCGATCTGTTTCTTCTATTTCCAAATTATTGTTGTTGTTATTCAATTCCCTATATGCATGTGTGGTCCATGTACGTTTTACAATTTCATTTCATTTCAAGTGTTCAGTTTGATTGATGTCGTCGCGTGACTAGCATGGTACCTTGATTCACCCGCAGAATAATGTTGTATGTGTTCTTGTCGATCTCCTGGTTATTTTGTATGTGTAAGCATCATGTATCCTCTATCATGTCTTTGCAGATAATTCATCGATGATTCTATATATCATAATTCCTGAAATGTTGCCTAAATTTAATTATATCATCTCGTCATTGTGCATGACTAAATTTTATTTGTTTTCTCGACATTCCTATCTTACGATCATTAATAGAGAAATGACACTTACAACGGTTTGTAGCGGTGGATCTATCTACATTGTACAGGGTGCGGGCGCACACACAAAAATATCAAAAAACAGTGATCATGATCAAATTTTTACCATATTCGCACCCATACCGTAAAATCCTATGCACCCCTCCGTATTTGCTCTAGCTCCGACCCTGTTTGTTGTAGCCCCCTTCACTGTCGCTTTAAATGAACCAGTCATACACATGCGTGAGTCATTATACTCATAGGAATCACATCCAACTTGGTTTGTGTCACCAAGCGTGCGAGTGATTCTTGGACTATCACAACAGGTTGTTAACACTAAACCCGAGTGTTCCTTAGGGCATCATGTTTGGATTGTGCCACGTACCTATTTCAAATGTTACTCACAATTCAATTCAATCCAAATCATTGATTTGAAATGCAGCTTTAAAATTAATTTAAAATCGGTTGAAGGCTAGAATTTAAGTCCATAAGAGAATTTTGATATGCCAGTGCACGACCTTTTTAACCTTAATGAACAATCATAAGGCTAATTGTCATCAATTAACGAATAGGTAACAATACACACTATTATTTTTCCCCACATCTCATGACACTCACCAACCACCCAAATTAGTAGCATAAACAAATCTCTTGGTGTAGCACATAGACACAAACTTCTCTTACAACAATACAATATTCGGCTTTTCCTGCATGTAGAAAGAAAGGTAATAATTCAACATGTAGGACTTAATTGTAGTTCTAACCTACGTTAGTTATGGTTTTGCCATTAGACTCGATAATGCCACTTCAGTAGCTTACCGAGATACTAGGATCGGCCGGAGCCAATCGGCCGAGTACCTCTCACTTTTGGCACTTACTATAATCCGGCAAATTATCATACATCAGAGATGAATTCACTTTTACACAACCTTACAATCATACATTTCAACCATTTCAAAGCCACACAAGGGCCACAAAGAGCCAAGGTATAAATATCCGTTGCTAGCATGCGTAGCTAAAACTAGCTACTCTACTCAACTATAAATGCACAAGCGTAGATAGCAAATCAATGGGGGCAAGAGATAGACACAAGATTTATCCCGTTACTTGCCAACAATCTACGTCCTCATTGAGGTGAGTCTCAAAGTAAATGATTTTTGCCCTCTAATAAGTGTCTTAAGCTTGACCCACAACTCGGGTGCCACAAGAATCAACTCAACAAAGAGCACTCCAATTAACCTCTAGCATTTTGCTAAAGTTGCTCTTTGTGATCTACCGTCGGAATGAGCATAAGAGCCCCTCACAAATCAA